AAAATAGTAAATCTCAGTATTAAACTTGTTTCAGAAAAAAGTAAATCTCAGTATTAAACTTGTTGCAACATTTCATATGATTTTTTTAGGCGAAAATGTCATTTGATATAATGGGAAAATCACGATAACTCGCCTAAAAATTTCCAAGTGTTGTATATTGTTTTGTGACAAACCATATAAAAGGATATATCGACCAATATATCTGCTAATATATCGGTCATATCAGGTATATATCACCCAAAGCCACATAACGGTAAGGGATATTTAGAAACCATATCGGTTTGCTGCCATGTCGGGGATATTTAAAACAATGGTTCCTAAAACTTTTGGATATGTTGAAGGGTTGACTCTTGTTTAATTCGTGTTATCGAGTCATTCTTCTTGCACTTCTGCCAGTGTTAGATCTAGTGGTTATGTATTTGTAAATTCTGAATTTGGATAGGTAGCAGATGCGAACCCCTTGCATGTCAAAGCTTTATAATGACGCAGAGTGTCCTACATGTTAGTTGGAGATTTTGATGAAGTGAATAAATTTTTTGTTAAGATTTATACATATTATAACCTTTCATAGGGTACATATAGACCGCAAACATTACCAAAAGGAGGAGGTTAGTATGACAACCCAATTTTACTCTTTAATACTATGTCACTCGTGAAATATTACTTACACATGGGCTGAAGATGGAGAAGATGACTCTCAAGAAGTTTTATTTACGGAGGAGCTGGAGATAGAGAAGATGGTTAGGAAGCAGTTCAAAGGACTATCTTGATAATAAACTTGGAAAAATTTCTTGAAGTGGATGAGCAATGGGAGGGGGGTTTCAATAACATTTTGATCAGAAGGTGTTTGTATTTGCTCTCAGAGAAGAAGGAAGAACATGTTTTGAGGGGGGTTCCGCTAATGGGTAAGAGGTTTTTCACTTTCTTCGTTGTGATTTCTCAAGGAGAATTACTCTTCTATTTATAGGGGCTGAACCCACTAACTCCACCCCCCAGATCCGCCCCAATGAGAGATTTTCTCTCAACAACCCTTCCACGATCCACAATTCTCTCTACTGAGAATCGTTGATTTGGTCACCATGACCGAGTCAAGCTAACATCTCCCACTTGACCAAATTAACCAAGTGATATGCCTCCCACTATCCGTGAGATCAGATGTTTCTGCTTACCATTACTTTCACTATCCGTAGAGAGTAACTCTTATTTTATTATTCATGAAATTTTACTTGGACTTATTTATTCCTAAGTCCCATCAAACTTACGTGTTTAATAAAAAATTTCGCTGGTATGCCTTTTGTCAAAGGATCAGCAATCATATCTGTAGTAGGGATATAAGTCACTTTGACTTCTCCCTTTTTTACAATATCTTGAATATAGTGATATTGGATCTCATTATGTTTTCCTTTGGAGCTATTCGCGCCACTATTGATTAAGCTAATTGCTGCTTGATTATCACAATAAATATCAATAGGGCCTTCTAACAAATTGAGATCAAGATCAATCAAAAACCGTCTTATCCAGACACGTCTTATCCAGACAGCATGTGTAGTTGCCATACTGCAAGCTATATATTCAGCTTCTTACGTATATCTAGCAACACACCCTTGTTTCTTGCTACTCTAAGAAACAGCTCCTCCTCCAAAGATGAATAAGTATCCCGAAGTGGATTTTTCATCATCTTTATCACCTCCGGCATCGGAATAACCGAGGAGTTCAAGCGAATCGGCTTGATAAACTAATCTATGAGTCAATGTACCTCTGATATACTTCATAATTCTTTTAACAGCTTCCCAATGTGCTGGTCTTGGATTACTTTGATATCTACTGACTAGACTCACAGCATAAGCTATATCAAGTCTGGTGCACAACATTGCATACATCAAGTTTTCAATTGCTTGAGCATAAGGAACATCTAATGGCTTCTGCCCCTCTCCAGGGCTTTGTTCTTTACATAATCTCTTCCCATAACCAACGGAGTTGGTGCCGGATTGGAATTCTCCATTCCAAACATTTTAAGAACCGATCTTAAATATTTTTCTTGGTTTAAACTTTTAGCATTCTAGACTTTTTATCTCGAATTATTTGAATTCCAAGAATATATGATGCATCTCCCATGTCTTTCATCTCAAACTTTTCGCTGAGACCTGCTTTGATTTTATTCAACATTTCTATGTCATTTCCAGCGAGCAATATATCATCCACATATAATGATAATATAGTAAACTTGATCCCATTTTTCAAGACATATACACAATTATCTAATTTATTTTGAATAAAACCAAGTTTAGTGACTGCATCATGAAATTTGAGATACCATTGTCTAGAAGACTGTTTTAAATCATATAGAGATTTCATTAATTTGTAAATTTTATGTTCCTGTCCTTTCACCTGAAAACCTTCAGGTTGTTGCATATATATTGCTTCCTTCAACTCTCCATTAAGGAATGCAGTTTTAACATTCATTTGGAATAACTCCAAATCAAAATATGTAACAATAGCCAAAATAATTCTAACGGATGTAAATTTAACCACAGGAGAATACGTCTCCTGAAAATCTATTTCTGCCTTCTGGTTATAACCCTTGACAACTAACCGTGTTTTGAATTTATCAATAGATTCATCAACACGATATTTCTTTTTAAGCACCTATTTGCATCCAATGGTTTTTTTATTTTCTGGTAGATCACATAACTCACATACCTTATTCTTTTCTATAGAATCAAGTTCTTCTCTCATAGTTTTTAGCCATAAAGCTGATTCATGCGATTTCATCACATCAGAAAAGGTTAAGGGATCTTGTTCTTCTATATTTGTATCTACCGAAAAACAGGATGACTCACATGAATACAAATAGTAATCATTCATCCATGAAGGTTGTGTTCTTGACCTTTTGTTGCCTACAATTGGTTGATTAGGTACATTATTTTTCATAGGTATTTCATCATTTTCAAGGTTAGGTTCATTCACAATATCAGGGTCATTAGTGAGAACAACACTATAATCATCATCATCTATTACAGTTAGAGGTTTTGTTTCCTCTTGAACTTGTTCCTCTTCCTCTAAATTCTCTAGAAATGTAGCATCTCTGCTTTCAATGACTCCTTTTTCTTTATTATAGAACTTATAACCTTTTGACTTTTCTGAATATCCTATGAATCTACACTTTATTGTTTTAAAATCCAACTTATCTCTAAGTTGACATGGAATGAGAACATGGGCTATAGATCCCCACTTCCTGAGATGACTCAAATTAGGTTTTTTCCCATTCCATAATTCATAAGGTGTAGATACAACTGATTTGATGGGAATTTTATTTAAAATATAATTTGCAGTTAATAATGCTTCTCCCCAAAAGTTTTTAGAGAGACCAGAGTGAGACAATATACATCTAACTATATTTAATAATGTTCTGTTCTTTCTTTCAGCAACACCATTCTGTTGTGGCGTATACGGCATTGTTGTATGCCTTTTAATTCCATGCTGAATACAATAACTTTCAAATTCTTTAGAATTATATTCTCCACCTCTATCAGTTCTCAAAATTTTAATTTTCAATCCAAGTTGGTTTTCAACTTCTGTCTTATATATCTTAAAGCAGTCAAAATCTTCTAATTTTCTCGATATAAGATAGACGTGTGCAAACTTGGAATAATCATCTATAAAAGTAATAAAATATTCTTTATTACTATGATTTTTGATACTTAGGGGACCATAAATATCCGAGTGTACCAACCCTAAAAGTTCATTGGCTCTATGTTCGCCAACAAAAGGTTTTCTAGTCATTTTACTAGTTAAACAATGTTCACATGGTGGCAATTGAACATTAGATAGTGCAGGAAGCAAGTTCATTCTGATAATTTCTTTTATTTTTGAAATACTAGCATGTCCTAGTCTAGAATGCCACAATTCAGATTCAGAAATATAACAGGACAAGTAGTTCAAATTCGAAATTTTATTATCAGAATTATTACAAACTACTGGAAGAATGCATAATTCATGCTCGGGCACATATTTTCCCATAGCATACACTTTATTATTCTTGCCTATAGAAACCCTGTTATTATAGAACCTTACTTCCAGTCCTTTCTTCATCAAGCTGGGAACAGAGATCAGATTGCGTCGAATTCCTGACGCATAGAACACATCTTTGAGGACAAGAATGATGTCCCCAAGATCCAATCTATACGAACCAATACCTTCTACATCGAGATAGGTATTATTTCCCATATAGATTCTCTGTTCTCATTTCTTTAGCTCGGCGAATTCTACGACTCCATTCTTTTCCTTTGCGATATGCCTAGTCGCACCGGAGTCGATCCACCAACCACTGATATCCGTCATCACAGCATTACATTCTGTCACACCGACGAATTCTCTTTTGCTAGTACCCCTTGTTCTGGATGCTTATAGCCTCCCTTATTCTCCTGCTTTTCACCTTGTGGGCAATTGGGTTTGAAATGCCCGAACTTTTCATAATTATAGCAGGCTCCGCGGGGTACTTTCTTTCTCTTGAACTGCTGCGATTTCGGTCCTTGTGGTTGTGGTTTACTAGAACCAGAGTTTTTATAGCTTCCAGCATTATGCCTCTGGCGGACATAATTCAGCTCTTGCTGCATCATATTCAGTTCTGGTTCCTTCCTACTGGCTATTAAGTCCTGTTCTATCGTTAGGTGCATAGGAAGATCAATGACAGACTTAATAACAGGATTCATTCTTAATGTGGTGACAACCACAGCAAGTGAAGGGGGAAGACTATTCAAAATGGTTGCCACTTGCATTCTTTCCGGGATTTCGGTCCCAGCAGTGGATAAGTCCTTAGCCATGATAATCATTTTATTTATATGCTCTACGACATTGTTTCCCTCTTGCATACGACAAGAATTATACTTATGCAAGAGGAGTTGAATGTTAACTTCAGAAGCAGTGTCGTATTTTTCTTTTATTGCATTCCACATGTCCATGGAAGTCTTATAAGTTTCAAAAACTTTGATTAAGTTATCTTCCATGAACATGAGCATAAGAGTTTTCGTCTTTTTATCTTTCGACTTTCACTGTTCAAACCCTTTCTTTTCTTCAGGTGTAGATTTATCAGTAAGGGTTGGAGCAGTGGTTTCGATTATATCATCAATGTTGTCATGAATAAGAGCATATCCTATTTTTCTATGCCACATATCATAATTACTGCCATTAAATTTGTCAATTTTACCTAGTTCTGATAGAACGAGTTTACTAGCTATTCGGTAAAGAACTAAAACTAAATTTAATTTTAAATATTTGTATAAGGTTGATATTTTAACAATAATACTAAATAATAATAAAGTTAGATAAAAATAAATAAATAAATGAACCTGATTGTTCCGACTTGATGAAAGAGGCTCCAATTTGAGCGAGATTGTCGCTTAGCGGTGTTGACCGAAGAATCTCTTGTCGAAGTTTTGGCGTCGTTTCTGACTGGATTTGAAGATAATCTGCTGCTGTTGTGGAGTTACACTGAATAGAAATTGCGAAGAATTGTTCGAACAACCCAAAATGATTGAAAACAGAATATTGAATTGTAAAGGACTAAAGTGATCTTTTTTAAGGATCTGCTGGTTTTGAGAACGTGGAATATAGGAAAATTGGGCTTTGTAAAGATTTGTTAAGTGAACATGGGCCTGACTATGATTTAACAAATAAAAATGAATGGGCTTTGAAAATAAAATGGTTGGGTTATTGTGATTTGGGCTTGGCTTTGCTTCAACAAAAAAATAGGTGGGCTATGGTGAATTGCATGTGGGCAGAGTAAAGGCTGGCTAAAAAATGGAGATCTAGGGCTTTGCTCCTGAGATCGCTACTTGATGTAGCCAGGGAACGACTGATGAGATACGATCAAAGAGGAAGACCGAAAATTGCAAGGGGGAGGCGGATCTATTTGTCTTCCTCGATCCAAATCAGAGAGCTCGCCGAGATGAAGACTTCGGCTTCGAGGTCAATCGCCGTCGCCGTCGCAATCGAGACTAGGTCGAGCGGAGATCAGATCCCTGCCGAGTTCGTCGTTGACGTCGCCGTTGGCTCTGATACCAGTATTTGCTCTCAGAGAAGAAGGAAGAACAGATTTTGAGGGGGGTTCCGCTAATGGGTAAGAGGTTTTTCACTTTCTTCATTGTGATTTCTCAAGGAAAATTACCCTTCCATTTATAGGGGCTGAACCCACTAACTCCACCCCCCAGATCCGCCCCAATGAGAGATTTTCTCTCAACAACCCTTCCACGATCCACAATTCTCTCTACCGAGAATCGTTGATTTGGTCACCATGACCAAGTCAAGCTAACAGTTTGAGCAGATAAAGTCAAAGCCTCCTGTTCTGCCATTTAGGTGAGCGCTAAAATTGTTGTATATATGGTTCTCTTATTTATATTGGATCTTGCCTATCTGTGTTTTTTTATAATGCTTAAAATTTCTGTAATATACCGGACCTTGAGGGTGAAAGTGTCTCTGATTTTGGAGTCCTTGCACTGTATTGCATCACAGAGTTAATGACCACTATCTTGCTAATATTCCACATGGAACCCCTGTCTTGCTACTATTTTAGGTCTTGATAAGCTGTGGAGATCTTCTCCCCAACACACCTTTGGTACATTTTTATGAGCAGAGCATCTTTAGAACAAAAATTTCTGAAGTGGGAACAGGATCAGATGATGATCAGGCTCCTAGTGAGCCAAACAGAGATATTAGTTGCTTTAGGCGCTGTAAAGGTGGAGCAGAACTAGACACACATTGGTTGAGTAATGGTGGAGCACAACTACACGCACATGTGTGCACACAATGCAAATGCATGCATGCAAACGTACATACACTACAAATGCATGCATGCAAACGTACATACATGCAGACATACATTGCATATGCAGCGTACAAACTAATATACATGGAAACGTACATTACAAAGATGCACATACATTTACACACTGCAAATGCATGCGACGTATATACATGGAAACGTACATTACAAAGATGCACATACATTTACACACTGCAAATGCATGCATGCAAATGCATGCATGCAAGGCATGCAAATGTGCATACATGCAAACGTACATTGCAAATGCATCCATGCAAAATGTACATACATTCAAACACATGCATACATTTACTACACTGGATACAAGCGTGCATACATCCATCCATGTATTTGCTTACATGCATACGTGCATCATATATATCACATATATACATTTTATATGTACACACATGCATATATACATACATACATCACATCGCATGCATGCCCACATCATACATACAAACTTGCATACATACATTCATGCATGCATCACATACATTGCATGCATGCATCACATACATACATAAATACATACGTACATACATTCAAGCATGCATCACACACACATACGCACAAACATTCTTTTGTACGTACATATGTACATGCATGCATTATTACAGTACATAAATACATGCATACATACATCACAGACACGTCATACATACATACATGTATAATACATTCATCACATACACATGTACATCGCATACTTGCACACATCATACATACAAACATGCACACATACATTCATACATGCATCACATATATTGCATGCATGCATACATACATTCATTCATGCATCACATACATAAATACATACTTATGTACATACATGCATTAATACATAACATAAATACATGCATACATACATAGCACACATACATCACACATGCGTACGCACACGCACACACCCACACACGCACAAACGAAAAAGGTTGCAGATGTGTCTAGTGATATGCATTCATGGAAAGGTTCCATGATTTTTGGTTATTTTTTGTTTGGTTCGTTGTCTTCCACAACACACAGCTTGGAACACAATTTTTTTAGTTCATAGCGACCCATCAATTCCTGGGCTTGTCTGGATCTTTAATTTAAAGAAAATTTATGAAGATGAACTATCATGTGAATGATGCACGTTCTAGCTCTTTGGCGATCTTTAATTTAAAGAAAATTTATGAAGATGAACTATCATGTGAATGATGCACGTTCTAGCTCTTTGGCCAATTTCCATTGAATCATACTCATTAAAGATGAACTATCATGTGAATGATGCACGTTCTAGCTCTTTGGCCAATTTCCATTGAATCATACTCATTAGCTGTTGATATCTTTCTTTAGTGCGTATGCTGGTGCAATTGGTTTTTTCACCCATCTGTATGTTTGTTGAGATTTTCTTATTCTACACTTTTTGATCACTGATGGTTGTTACTTTTTACTGTAGTCAGTTGTAGACTCACATCAGAATCCTTCCGTTTTTGGGTATAAAGCTGTCTAAGAATTTAGAGCATATGCTGGTGCAATTGGTTTTTTCACCCGTCTGTATGTTTGCTGAGATTTTCTTATTCTACACTTTTTGATAACTGATGTTTGTTATTTTTTACTGTAGTCAGTTGTAGACTCACATTAGGATCCTTCTGTTTTTGGGTATAAAGCTGTCTAAGAATTTAGAGTCCTAAGATGAGTGATGAGGGTTCTTTATTCGAGCCAGCAGGCTTTGATGCTGATGGCAGTATTTGATGAGGCCCTTGGTTAAATAAACAGCTTCCCTTCCATCTAATATTTCACTTGCTTCCGTAACTGATACATGTAGTTCTAAACCACAGAGACCTACTGCTAGATTTAAATACAAGCTCTTGAAAAATGAAGCCTAAACAAATTATCCTTTTCAGGTATGTTCGTTGCTCAGCCTGAAGGAATTTTTATTTTCGATTATGCTTTACTGATTCTAACCGCTCGACAAAATATCTATTGTCCAACTGTTTCCATTTCTGCTGAGAGGGATGCTGTAATTGATTCAAACACTGGGTTATTTTTCTCTTTTCTTCATTTTTCTCCACATTATATTTAAGTAGAATCTAATTGCAGTATTAAACTTGTTTTTAGAAAAAAAGTAAATCTCAGTACTAAACTTGTTTCAGAAAAATGTAAATTTCAGTTCTCATATAGAAGGGCGGTCAGCTGTTATGCATGTTTTGTTTGAGCATTTATAGTTTTCTAACATAAGTCATGCTTTTTAGCCTTCATTCTCATATATCTTCCTGAACTTGTTAACCTGTACAGGTTCTTACAGGTCATCACTGGGGACTTGGGAGCAAAATCAGGTGAAGGCGAGGCTCACGGTGAGCCTAACCTAGGTAATTGGTGGATAAGGCTTCATAATGGTGGAGCACAACTAGATGCATACATACATTAACGGATACATGTATTGTCACGCATGCAGGCCTGCATATCACGCACACACGCATGCATTCATACAAATGCACGCATGCATACCTACATTATACATTGTCATGCATGCTTCTAGTATACACATGCATTCATACTCATGCTTGTATGCATAAGTACATACAATCATAGAAAAGGATGTAGCAGTGTCGAGTGATTTCTTAAATTAGTGAAAGTTTGGCTAGCGGCGGGGTCATGAGAAAGGTTGCAGCAATGAATGGACTAGTAGCTTGATCCAATAACTTTTTGGTCTTTTGAAGTTAAAAGACTTCATTCTGTTTTCTATGTTCCTGTTCGAATTTGATATGTTATATTCATATTCTTCCTGGATTCCTCAGCAATTTAGCTTCTAGCAAATTGTAGTAATATTCTTATTAAATCATTGTGCCCTTATTCCAACTTCTTGAGTATAAATCTATATTACAAGTAGCGGGCCTAACATGAATAGGACAACAATTGTAGCATGGCAGTGTTCTCAACAGTCTTAACATGTTTAAAGGAACCTGTGAAGTTGCTAAGGAGATTTTAAGTCTTACCTCTAGATGAGTAGGAGGCTTTTCTAAAATTGGCTAAAACTTTGTTGGGCTCTGATGATCAGTGATCACGTAAGCATAGGATAAGTCACGCAACATTTCTTACATGTTGGCCTAAACACCATACAGTTCTTATTCATTGTGATGCAATACTTATATGAGGTGAAAAACATAATTGTAAATTTCAGTTTTCATGTAGAAGGGCAATGAACCCTTATGCATGTTATTGTGAATTGTGAAGAAGGTACTCTTTACCTTTTATGTCGTAATTTAATTTAGCACCTCTGTAGAATGTGTAGGAGGTCCCTCACAATTAACTTTGTTTCCGTTTATGTGCAATATATTAATTATTAATGTCATGATTACTCTATTTTATTAGGCTGATGTTTTTGTTCCGTTCTTTAAAAAAAACTTTAGTGGTAGATGTGCTCAGTTTGGATCATGACATATCTTATACGCATACTGGTGTTGATCTGTAGGCAACATAAGCAGGAGCAATGTTTTCAAAGGACTCACAGGCACTTAATACCTGTGCAGTTCTTTTGACAAAATTCTGTCATAGCAGGACTGATAAAGTTACTCAGGGTGCTTAGGTTCAATGGGAAATTCAACTACTTGTCTTTGAAATATGGAAGGTAAGCCTGTGTGTATCGTGGAGGTTTGACATCCTTGTAATAAATTATTCTCTATAAGAATGCTCTGATATCCTAGTGAGTATATTGTGTTATTTGGTTAGCTTTCTTGTTAAATCAAGTTACGCTTATCTATTAAGATCTTGGGCACAACTTGGCACAACATACTCGAAACCAGATTAGTTTGATGAGCTTTCCAGTTATTTTTAAACTGTTAGTAAAATCCGTTGCATACAGACATTCATATATCCATTCAAATATGTACATGCATACATACATCCATACGTGCACATGGACATCCATACACACATCCACTCATGCACGCATACATTCATCAATAAAGGGAGGCAGTGAAATGTTAGGACTGCCCCCTTGTTTGTTACAGGTCGTGGCTCAGAATCCCGCACCGTGCGAGGGGTTCTGATAGGATCTTTACTCGAACCCCGCACCGTGTGGAGTTCTAACAGGATCCCTAGTCAAGGGGAGTAAAGATCCTATCAAAACTCCGCACACGGTGTAGGAGGTTCTGAGCCATAATCTGTAACAATAAGGGGCCAGTTCTAACATTCAGTGCCCTTTTGTGTGGTTCAAAGAACCCTGCACTATGTGGGATTCTGATAGGATCCCGCTGCAGGGTTCTTTTAGCCACACAAGGGGTAGTGAAATGTCAGAGTTGCCCCCTTGTTTACAAGTCATGGCTTGGAATCTCCCGCACTGTGCGGGAGGTTTTGATAGGATCTTTATTCATTTTGACCCAATAAGAAATTATTTTGCAGAATTAAATTTCATAATTCCATGAATTATAGGCTATAACCCATAATTTTTGGTCATTGGCGAATAGTTTGTGGAGCTCAAAATTCAGATTTCATGAATTATTAACTTATTACTTTTGGCTATTTTTAGTCGTTCTGACCCATTGACAAATAAATTTATGGAATTTAAGATTCATTTTATAGTTATAATTCATGATTTTCTTATAATTGTCATTCCTACTTATTAGTAAATTATCTCGCAAAGGGTAAAATTCATGATTTTATGCAGTATGCCTTATGTTTTATTTTTACTTATTTTGTTCTATTATCAAATATTTTTATAAAGTTTAGGATTCACTTTTTTATAAGCTATAACTAATAATTTTAGGCTATTTTTGTCTTTTCGACACATTGCAAAAATTTCGTGGAAGTTGAAATTCAAAGTTTCATGAGTTATAACCAATGATTTTTGGCAATTTTTTATTGTTTGATCCATTAGCAAATTATTTTATGGAGTTTAAAATTTTATAAGCTACAATTCATGATTTTTGCTAATTTTTTATTGTTTAGGCCTATTGTCCAATAATTTTACAAAGGCTAAAATTTATGAATTTATTAGCTATAACCCACGATTTTAGGCTATTTTTTGTCGCTCTGACACATTGTTAAAATTTTGGGGGAGTTAAAATTCGCGATTTCATGAACTATGACCTACTATTTTTAGTAATTTGTTATTATTCTGGTTCATTAGCAAATAATTTTATGGACTTTAAAATTTTGTGAGTTATAATTCATAATTTTTGCTAGTTTTTTTATTGCTTTGGCCCATTGTTCAATAATTGTGCAAAGGTTAAAATTTATGAATTTATTAGCTATAACTTACGATTTTTTGCCCCTTTAACTCACTTCGTTTTATTTGCAAATAATTTTGTGCACTCCAAAATTTGTAATTTTATTAGCTCTAACTCACGATTTTTAGGTCAGAATTTATGATTTCATAAGATATAACCAATAATTTTTGGGTATTTTTACTTATTTTGACACGTTGTCAAATAATTTTGCGGAATCAAATTTAAGATTTAAATGAGTTATAACCCACGATTTTAGGCCATTGTTAGTGGTTTCGGCTTATTTGTAAATAATTTTTCGTAGATTAGAAGTCGTGATTTCATGAGCTATAACTCATAATTTTTGGTTATTTCCACTAGTTTTGATTTGTGAGCAAATTATTTCGCAAGGTTCAAATTTAAGATTTTATGAGCTATATTATTGAAATTATTGTTAAATTTAAACCTTGCGAAATAATTTTAAATAGTAGGTCATGTATTGACAAATAATATAATTCAAACAAATAATATAATTGGAATACATGACCTATATTCAAGTTATTTGGTTATGTTTATTCCTTTCCATCCATTGACAAATAATTTCGTCGAGTCTTAAATTTATAATTTCATGATCTATATTTCATGATTTTTTGTTATTTTTAGTCGCTCTAACTCGTTGATAAATAATTTTGGAAAGTCCAAAATTTTGATTTCTTGAGCTAATTCATGACTTTTGGCCGTTTTTAGCCCTTTTTACCTATTGACAAATAATTATGGGGAGTCCAAAATTTTCGATTTCATGCGCTATATTTCATGATTTTTTACCAGTTTTAGTTGTTTTGACCCATTGGTAAGCAATTTCACGGAGTTCAAAATTCACAATTTTATGAGTTAAAATTTATGATCTTATGAGCTATAATCTAGTTTTTGGCTATTTTTAGACGTCTCGACTTATTGGCAAATGATCTCATGAAATCCAAATTTTAAGATTTCATGAGCTATAACTTATTAGTTTTGGTCATTTTTAGTCATTTCAACCTATTGACAAAAAATTTTGTCGAGCCAAAAAATTAAGATTTCATAAGCTATTTTTCGTGATTTATTATTATTTTTAATCAGTTTGACGTATTGCTAAATAATTTCACTGAGACTAAAATCTATAATTTCATGAGCTATAAATGCATGATTTTTGGCTATTTTTTTCATCTTTTTGACCCTTTGGTAAATAAATTTTTAGAGATAAAAATTGCGGAGTTTAAAATTCACGTTTTAATGAGTTATAACTCAAGATTTTAGGTTATTTTTTGTCATTCCGACCTATTTACAAAAAATTTTGCAGAGATCAAAATTACGATTTCATGAGCTATATAACCCACGATTTTAGGTTATTTTTATTCATTTCGACATGTTGGCAAATAATTATCGCAATTTAAAATTCACGATTTCATAAATTTTAACTCATTATTTTGGCCATTTTTAATAGTTTCTATCCATTGGAAAATAATTTATTGGAGTAAAAAATTACCATTTTATGAGGTAAGTTAAGATTTTTAGCCATTTTTAGTTATTCTGACCCATTGGTAAGTAAGTTTGTGCAATTCACAATTAACGATTTAATGAGCTATAATTCGTGATTTTTTTAATTTTTTTTTTTAGTTTTGACCTATTGGCAAAGAATTTGGCAGAAGCTAAAATTTATGATTTCATGAATTATAATCCATAATTTTTGGTCATTTCTATTCGTGAAAAAATTAAGATTTCAGGAGTTATAATCTATGATTTGAGATCATTTTTAGTTGTTCTGACTTATTAGTAAATAAGTTTTTAGAATCTAAAATTCTGGATTTCATTAGTTATAATCCATAGTTTTAGGTCATTATTAATCATTCTATGACATGGACAAATAATTTAGGCAAACCAAAATTTATTACTTCATAAGCTATAACCCATGATATTTAGTTATTTTTTACTTATTTCAACTCATTGACAAATAATTTTGCTGACTCCTAAATTAATGATTTTAAGAGCTATAATTTCATTATATGTCATTTTTAATTGTTATGTCACGTTAGCAAGTAATCTCATCAAGCCCAACATTTAAGATTTCATGAGGTATAATTGATGATTTTGGGATATTCCTATTCATTTTGACCTAATGAGAAATTATTTTTTAGAGTCAAAACTTATGATTTTATAAGCTATAATCTATGTTTTTAGGTCATTTTTAGTTGTTCCGACCCATTGGCAATTGTCAAGTCTAAATTTCTCAATTTTATTAGTTATTTGGCAATGTGACGGAATTCACGACTTTGTAAGGGTGTGTTTGGATTTCAATGGGGTTAAGGGAAGTTAAGGGAAACTAGATGAGAGAAGGGAAGGGAGTTCCCTTCCCCTTGGTTACACCCCAATTTGGGGGGTAACAAATTTTATACTATTAAGGCGTGAACCAAGGGGAATTAGGGTGAATAACTTCACCTCCTAAATATTCCCAAACAAGGTGAATGGTTCCCCTAATTTCCCTTCTCCCTTATTCCCCTCAATCCAAACAAGCCCTAAGTTACAACCTATGATTTTAGGTTTTTTAGCTGTTTCGATAAATTGGCAAACCTTTCGTGGGAGTTAAAATTCTTGATTTTATGAGCTATAACCTATCTGGCATTTTTTAGTCATTCTGGACCATTGACAAATAATTTTGTAGAGTTCAAAATTTATAATTTCATGAGTTACAATTCGTAATTTTTAGTAATGTTTTGTTTTTCCGACCCATTAGCAAATAATTTTACAAATTCATGAATTCATGAGCCACCCACTACTTTTGGGCCACTTTTACTCATTTCGTTCCATTGGCAAATATGCTTGCAGAATCTAAAAATTGCGATTTTAAGAGTTATAACCAAGATATTAGATCATTTTTAATCATTTTGACATATTGGCAAATAATTTTATGGAGTTTAAATTTTACAATTTTATGAGTTATAACTTATGATTTTTCGGTATTTTTACTCGTATTGAAACTTTAGCAAGTAATTTTGCAGAGTTTAAAAGTAACGTTTTATGAGCTATAATTCACAAATTTACGCAATTTTTAGTCATTCCAACCTATTTTAAAATAGTTTTACGGATGGATTTTATAAGATGTATTTCATGTTTTTTTGTGATTTTTAGTCGTTCCGAGTTCCTACTCATTGACAAATAATTTTGAAAAAGCTAAAATTCATGGTTTTATAATCTTTACCCTACTATTTTTGGCTATTTTTACTCATTTCGACCTTAGCAAATAACTTCATGGAGTCTGAAATTCACGATTTCATAAGTTATAATCCACGATTTTAGGTTTTTTAAGCTGTTCTGATAAATTGGCAAAACTTTCGTGAGAGTTAAAATTCTCGATTTTATGAGCTATAACTTACTATATTTGGCTTTTTAGTCATGCTAACCCATTGACAGATAATGTTGTAGAGTTCAAAATTCATAATTTATGAGTTATAATCCATAATTTTTAGTAATATTTGTTTTTCTAGCGCATTAGCAAATAATTTTGCAAGGTCTAAAATTCATGA